ATTGCATGACGACTAATTATGAATGATTTAGCTCTTCTCAGCAACACAATGATGCAAGACAAGTACAAAGGACTCACAACGAAAAATGCTATCTACATCTAGATAAAAAATTGATGGGACTCTGAATACGGATCGAAGAATACGTTTTTCACTTACTTTATTTTTTCATGGCTTTTTCCTTTTGATCTATTTCTTTTTTCATAACTGTGACTAATATAGAAATATGTTTTACACAATTGCACATATATAACCTATATCAAATTACTACCACTTTAGGAAAAGAGGAGGGGATAGAGAAAAATTTGGAATCCAGAATCTTGTAAAAATGCTAAAAATTGTCTTGACACATAACTGGGAAAAAAAATAAAATGCTACTTTAAAAAAAAGAAAGGTCTTATGCAGAAGGCAGTACCTGAGCTGTGCTTTCTAAGGAAACTGGGGTTTCCACAATCTAGATGTGAGTGGGGAAAGTATTCCAAACATGGGTGGGACCATTTGTGCAAATTCAGAGGCAGGAGGTGGAATGTCATCTACAGGGAGACTAGCTAAATAAAACCATTTACAGGCAGACTAGTAAAGCTTGAAAAGAAAACACTTGAAGGGGAATAATATGAAATAATGTCATAAATGTGGTGGAAGCCATATTGTATAGCGTTTTAAATGCCAGGCTAAAGCTTTTATATTGTATTTTAGAATAGGAAACTATTAAACATTTTTTGTGACATATTTAGATCCATGTTTTAGAAATATCAATTTGGAAATTGTGTGAAGGATGGATTAGAGAAGGAGAAATTGAAGGTAAGGAGATCAATTAGGAGGTTACTGCAATACTACAGTCTGGGGGGAATAAGTTTCTGAATGAGGGGAATGAATGGGGGAAAAAATGGATAGACATTATCTCTGCAAGTTTAATCTTCAATGTAGTGATCAGAAGCAGGGTAGGAAGAAGTGAGTAAGTAGTTGTGTGAGCTTCTCCTCACATGGCTTGGAACGGCCGGTATTTTATAGGTTCCAAACCTAGAACCAGCCTACACTACAACCTGTTAAATCTGACACCTGAGAGTGTTGGCATGGGGGCAGAAAAAAAAGAAATACTGCAGGTAAGTTGGTTCCTTATATTGCTGAAAACCACCATACATTTGGACTGACCTTCAGAGAAATACAGGATTAGTTTGCATACTACTATCAGCTAATTATGATGTTCAATAAATCAATAGACATCATACAATGTGGGGGTTTAGGTTATAACCTCAAAATCAAAAAAGTTGAGGAGTGGAAATATGTCCTAAAACATAAAATGCTGAGAATTGTGATATTTCCACTCAGATCATAAAATTCCAGGATCCAGGCATACATAAATTCTGGTTACATGACTTAAACATAAAGGATGACATGATGAAAGATCATTTATTAAGTGCTTACTATTTGCAAAGTTATGTTAACCACTAGACATCCAGGTGAAAAAGGCAAGATAACCATTGGTCTAAAGGAGTCTATACTCCAACTAGGGGAGACAGCATATATAAAAGTCTACCTGCAATGTAGATGGAAAGGTCTGGAAATCTTACAAAAAAAAAAAAAAAAAGAACTATACTTCTGTCTTTTCCATCAAGCAAAGCCTCTTATCCTAACTATAACATTCACTCTCTGAAACAATACTTTTGAGTTCACTGAAACTTTAAGTAAACTTCCCATTTTCATGTGAGAAACTGCTGACCATCAACTGAGGGCTTTGTGATTGAAGAATAAAGAAGAATAGAACAAGTATTTAATCAGTATTTACACAGCTCTTTATGACCCCGGTAATTTCTATGTGACCTATATGGCTAACAAACAATACCCTTCTGTCTCACAGAGAAATGAAGCTATGAAAGTTTGAGTGATCTGTCCCTATGCCAGAGAAATGCCTAAAACTCCAGAGAAATGCCAGCCAAGCACTGACTCCTCATATTTTTCTCCTATGAGATTTTGATCATCATGATCTTTGTACTGTAACTCCAAAATCATAATAGGAATAGTTGATATTTACATAACATTTTAAAGTTTCCAAAATGACTTAGACATATTATTTCATTTGATCCTCACAACCCTGGGAGGTAAGAGTTATTATTATCCCCATTTTACCTTGAGAGTGGGAATCTGCTTTTCTCAGATATACTTGTGATTTGGTAATAGATCATAAAATCATAGATCTAGCCCTGGAAGGGACCTCAGTAGTCCCTGGTCACCCTGCTAGACAGCTCGGGGGCACAGTGGACAGAGCGCCAGGCCTGGAGTCTGGAAAATCTGAGTTCAAATACAGCCCCAGACATTTCCTAGCTCTGTGATCCTGGGCAAGTCACTTAACCTCTATTAACCTCAGTTTTCTCATCTGTAAAATGGGAATAATAATAATACCATCTACCTTCCAAGGTTGTTGTGATGATCAATTGAGATATTAACTATAATGTGCTTAGCACAGTGCCTAGCACATGGTAAGCACTATAGAAATATTAGCTATTTAGGTAGCGCAGTGGATAAAGCTCTGGCCTTGGAGTCAGGAGGACCTGAGTTCAAATCTGGCCTCAGACACTTGACACTTACCAGCTGTGTGAACCTGGGCAAGTCACTTAACCTTGATTGCCTCACAAAAAAAAAAGCAAAAAAAAAGAAACAAAAGAAACAAAAAGAAATGTTAGCTATTATAATTAAGTGTCTGAGGCAGAATTCAAACCTAGATCTCTCTAGCCTCCACTACACCACGTTACCTGGGAACATGGAAGAAAGGGAAGTCACGTGTTCTCACAGAAGGGCCTTGATCAGTGACTTGTGCTATGGCAGTGACAGGCTCTTCCCACCCACCATCACTCTTCTGTGCCTCATTTTACCGAATGGCAAAATCAGGGTCACAAGGAGTTCATCCATCTATCTCCTGCTTGTGTCAGTGGATTATAGGTATGAATACCACGCTATGAACAGAACATCTAAGGGTGTTTTTGGTTGCTGGGTTTGTTTTTGTTTTTATTTTGTTTGGGGGAGGAGAGGGTAGCCTTTAAAAAAACCTTAAAACCCATTCAAGTTACCTTAACAGTCTGATAAGCAGTATCCTAAGGAACAGATATAAAATCTAAGTTCAGATAGCAATTCTCTACTCAACACTGGGAAGTATCATACAGTGGAAAAAAACACCAGGTCTACAGTCAAATGGCATGCCTTCAAATCCCTTCTCTGGTGATCATTCCTTGTGTGATAGCAGGCAAGTCACTTAAACTCTTTGGGCCTAAGTTTCGCCATCTGTTAACTAAGGGGGCTGGACTAGATAACATTTGAGCCCCCTTCTAGCTCTGGTCCTATGAACCTTTCACCAAATCATCAGTATGTCTAAAAAAAAAAGCAGCCTCAAAACCTCAAGGAGAGAGTTGCCCCTGCAGAAGTAAAAACCAAATGAAGAAACTACCTGAGAGTAGTTACAAAACAATTCCCAGGCCAAAAAAAAGTCTAAGAAAGAAATAGCAACTATGCCTCCTTGCCTGTTTGATATTGAAAATACTGATGATGACCATGAAAATATTACAGAAATGCCAATTAATTAGAAGGAGAATCCTGATAATTGACCACTAAAAAGAATGAGATGGAGAGTGATGTGACTCCACACCAACTCAACATGATCTTTACAGAAATTGCAATTTGGCTCAGGCCAACATCCTCAGACTTACCTTGCTCCTGGGACACCACATTCTAGTGAAGATGACCTACTTCTTACTACTCTCTGAGTTACAAATTTCATCTCCCACTTCTGTACCCTTATACAGGCTGTCCCCCACACCCAAAATACACACCCTTCCCATCCTGTCTTGTTAGGATCCTTTTCTTCCTCAAGGTTCAACTCAGTATAGTTCCTAAGGAAATCTTTACTCAAATTGTTCCTGTTCTTCCCCTTCTCAAATAACTGTGTATTTGCATATACACGTGTACACACACACACACACACACACACACACACACACACACACGTAAAATGTCATATACTCCCAGTAGAATGTAAACTTCTCATAGGCAGGGACTTATTTCATTTTGTCTTCATATCCCCAAAACCCAGGACATAATCAGTTAATCACATTTACTGAATGCTCATTGAATTCAATTGAACCTCTATGTCTTAGAATCCTTTTTCAAGGCTAACAACCCCTCTTCTTGGCATATAAAATAACTTGACACACTGATCCCAGAAATGGAACACAAAGAGGCTACAACTTAAAAACATTAGATAGTGCCATTGCTATGTAGCAGAATGAGCCCACTAAGGCTTCCCTTTCCAACTTCTACAATGAGCTAGCTGTTACTTTACTCTCAACTCTGTCTTCCTTCTCTCACAATTCTCTTATTTATGTAATCAGTGAAAGAAACCCAATTACACTATAATCTTTCTTGCCCTCAATGTCAGTCCCACAGAGCAGAAATGGACAATTCTACTTCCTGCTGCCTATGTAAAGAGATCTGAGGAACCCTGAAGAACGGCAGTTCCTCACATGATCATATTCTAAGGCAAAGAATTGCTGAGGTCCTGAGACCATTTTCTTACATAGGCTTTCATATGGAAGATAGTAGTTGCTCCTCAGCTTTGAGGGTATGAAGATAAAGATAGCAGCAAAAGAGAAAAGATCATTCATATTAGTTTATACATGTGTGCATGCATGCACTCACGAACACAAACACAGACAAGTATGAAGCACAGTAATTAGTGAGAGAAACACGAACAATAGCTAAAGAGAACTATGAAAAATAGTTCACATATGAAATGTGAACAATAGTTAATACCAGAGAAAAAGTCCCCATCTGTAACCACTATTCTTTCCCCTTTACAAAAACACAAAAACAATTTCTAAAGTCCAACAGACTAGGCAAATAAAGTAAATTACTCTCCATCCAATCACCTTCCTAAACCTCTGTCAATCAACTTTCCTAGGAACAGGAATTATGATATCAGTACTGTTGATGTATGTTTTGCCACTTGCTCTTACCTCTTGCTGTTTTTCCTCATTGGGATAGGTGTCTACAAATACTCCTAGTCCTACAAAGTTGTCCTTGCTCCCAAAGACAGGCCCTAAAAGAATTAGAGGACAAAGCTCAATCAAAACAAGGTTTTGAACATTCCAAAGAATACTTCTCACTCTCTGGAGTACAAAGAGTTCAAGTGAGTCTCATGCCTTACTTGGAGGTGAAAGCCAGGGAGCAAGAGAGAATGCCATCCCAAACTCATTTAGCCCCATCGCAGCTCCCTGAGATATAACACTGGCTGCCAAGGATCCCCAACTTCACAGACGTCTGCTTCAGAAACACTCAGAGAAGACTATGTCCCCAAGATATGCAGGTGAATTCCCAAGTTCTAAACTGTGGGACAAAGTTTTTTTAATTCTTAAAGGTTAGACCAAGTTAAGCCTTCCATCTCCTTGAAGAGGGGTTACATAAGCAATAAGAGTTCAGACTAGACCTCTGATCTCCACAACCTCTCAAAACTCTCCAAAACAGGAATTATGCACCACAGATAAAGCAACTTTAGCTGTTTCCATGGTCTAGGACACCCAGAATCCAAAAAGAGGCAAAAAACATTCCCCAAAACCTAAGAACTGATTCTCACTGACCCTGAGCTCACTCACTATTCTGCTCCTGCCTCCCATTCCACTAGTAGTGAGGCCTTACTAGCAGATCCAAGGAAACGACACAGACTTACATCAAAACCCACCCCTGCATCCTATTTCCACTCCCTTCCTCTTTTCAGTGCTGTAGAGACCCCAGCTCCAAGTTGTAGAATTTTGCTCAGGCCTTGACAGCCAGTTTGGCTATAGTCCTTCAGAAGCAAAAGCCTGCTAGGGGCTGCAACCTGGAAGCATCAGTGCTGCAAAGCTCTGAACAGCTGGTGCCAGTGAAAGCAGGCTCTGAACTGATGGTCCCAGTCAGAGAACTAAGGAATAGAGAGAACAGGAGAGGTCACCAGGAGAGGACATGGTATGTGTCACTCCACTAAGCACTGGGGAAAGAATTATTCATCTGGGACCCGTTCTGACCACCCAAAAGTCAGGTGGGGCAGAAACCTAGACTGGTGAACCATGAATTGCTCAGTGTGTCAGTGTAGGAGGAGGCTGAGATAATTTTAGATCCAGGCCAAAGGAAAATACAATCAGAGGGGAGGGAGTCAGGAAGTGAGTAATGAGGAAAATTGAGGGGGGGAAATTAAAAGGGGGGAAAAAGATTTCAGGAAAAAAGACCTTAAATATAAGCAGATAAATCCAGGAAAAACAGTAACAATAGAAGGAAATGTAGCCTCCTGGTCTAGTAAACAAGTCCAGGCATTTCTGAATAAATACCACAAAATGAAAGAGAATGATCCATCTCCTTAGAGATAGTAGAGACAGTGACTCTAGTCCCATAAGCAGAAGTCTCTAATTCTCCCCTATGACTTAGTTCTGTTAAGATTCTTCAGGGTATGTGACTGTTAGAATTGGGCTCTTTGTGCTTTCAGCAGCCAACATGCCAAATGGCAGAAAATATAAAACCTAGAGGCTATTAACAATAAACAAAAAGCCATTTGAAGATTAAGCCAAACCCATTTGTTTAGCCAGGATTTTAGACCCATTCTAAAGCTGAGACTTGTTGGCCATAAACACAGATGCCAAAGTAATTCACATCCTGAAAAGAAAGCCACCTTCTGTGTCTTCTGCAAAGGTGCAAATCTTTCCACACCCTACACAAGAGACTCTAGACAAAGGTACTGATACCTGGCTGCATCCGATCCTTTGTATACCAGATTGCAAAGCCATCCCCATTCAGATTTTTCTTTCCTTGTCCATGGATTTTGAAATGCACTTGCAGTTCCCAATCTCTCAAATAGCAAGGCTACAAAAGAAAAAGGGTAAGAGTCAATAGAAGGATGAGTTGCCAGGCCCTCAGTTCCCAAACAGGAAGCTACACACAGGGGAAACGAACAAGTAGTTAACACAATAACAACTAGACTACAGAGAATCTAGGACTTGAGATCTGAGACTTACTAAATTTATGTGAAATCCTGTTGCCTATATATATATATAAAATATTAATATGAGAAGAGATTCAAGTGATTGGAGGCAAGTTCTCTCAGGTTCTTTATATAGCAGAAATGGAAAGCTCCCTTCACTTGAGGACCAAAGTAGTCCTAGAAAAAGTACAATACTTGTCATCCACTGCCTCTACCTCAAGTGTCTTCCACTTGGTTGTTTCCCAAACAGGAGCAGTAACAGGAAGTCAGAGTTGGGAGCCAGAAAAGCCATGGAGTGCAGAGCTGCCTTGACTACAATATGGTGGAACAGAAGCAGCAAGAGATTTGGTGTTAAAAAGATCTAGGTTCAAATCCTATTCTGCTAAGTTATTAGCTATGGGACCTTGGACAAGTCACCTAACTCCACTAACCTTCAGTTCCCTCATCTCTCAAATAAAAGAGCTGAACTAAATAATCTCTAAGGTCCCTTCCATCTCCAAACTTATGATCCTTTAAAACTATAACTCACATACTGCCTGGTCACATTCACTCCTTACAAGCAAAACCAGCTGAAGCAAGACTGAAGCAAGACTGAATCAACAGGGTGAATCAAGACTATCATAAATTATTAGTCCAGTTGGCTTAGACTTGTCCTACAACACAACCTAAATTTACTCATAGTCACCTAGCAAGTAAAGAGCCAGAGGTAGGGCTCAAACCTAAGTTTCCTGACTCTTAGTTCAGTATATACTTTCCTCTGCACCATGCTGTATGACCCTAGACAGGTCATCCAGCCTTGTGGAGCCCTAACTTCCTCAACTGTCAAAGGAAAATCCAGCCTTCACCACCCTTACCCTCAACCATCAAGAGAAGACAGGGCTAGTTCTATGGATGAGTATGCAGTATAACACAGTAGAAAGAACATTGGATTTGGAGTCAGAGGACCTAAGTTCAAATCCAAAGTTTGTGTGACCATGGGTCAAGTCACTAAAATCTCTCTTATCCTGTTTCTTCATCTATAAAATGAAGGCGTTGGACTAGATGGCTTCTTATGTCTATTCCAGCTCTATACCTAAGACCCTCTGAATATTCATTTTTGGCCCAAAGTGATTCCATTAGTTTCTTTCTATTGAAAAACTCTAAAGAATCCACTTTCGGGTTCTTCCTCTGTTAACCTTTAGTTGGGAAAGCTAAATAAAAGAACCAAAAAAGCCAAGTCAGAGAACACCTTGTCTCATGAAATGGTTTTGGGAAGAATTACCAGATGGTATAAACAACTCCAACCAGCTCTTGGTCCTTTGCCAAGCTGAGGAGTAAATCAAAGTTCCCAAAACTAGATACAGATGTCACAAGGCATGTCTCTACCTATTACACATTCCCTCTCCACTTTTCCCACCCAAGGAGCATCAGAAGAGAATATTACTGAACAACTATTACAGGAAAAGCCTGTTGCATAAATAGATAAGAGATAAAGAGCTGAAAATTTTAGGAGAAAAAAATGCGGCTGTGAAGAAGCTATAACGTACAAATATGATTATACATATTAAGGAAATGAGTGTTTAATCAGGGTTTTCTGATTCCTAATTGTATATCATAACACAAAAGTATCTGAAGGCAGCAGAATAAAAGTGCTTTCAATTGTAAAGTTCACTTAAAGTAGGGATAAAATTATTTTCTCTCAGAACCCACCAAGGTTCATAGATTGTCTTGATGTTCCAGGAAAAAAATTCAAAGAAGTTTGATCTAAGTACCCAGGTTCTGAATGGAAATAACTTACTTTAAAGGGAAACAGCAAAGACAAACCAAGCAGGTTCATCCCAGAAGATTTGAAAACACAGGTTGCCCTCTTATAACATACTAAGTCAGTTTGCATTTTCATTTTAAATTTGTATGACAGAGAGTACATGGCAGTAGGTGCAGTCAAGGGTCAAACTGTAAAAAAGAGATGTCTGAACCCAGGCTAAGTTAGTCTGGTAGCTGCTGAATCCCATTTCTTATAAAAGGCCTCCACCCTGCTTATCATCAACCTTCCTCTAACTTCTACCCATTGGTCTTAGGCCTCTTTCTCCTCAGAAGCGAAGCAGAAAACATCTGCAAATACCTTAAACTGATCTTTATTCACCTTTATTCAACTACCACAGAATATTACAACATGCCTATGCCTGATGTGGTTTGAGTAGAATACAATGGAACTATTATAACCTTATTCTAGACATGTAATTTTTACTAATGCAATCTAAAATTGCAGTTTTTTTATAGTCACATCATAATATTGATTATATCAGGCTTACGTCAACTAAAAATCTCTAAGCCTTTTTCATATAAATAGCTGTCCCAGAATATATCCCAAATCATGTTGTTGATTTTTTGAGCTGAAGTTTTATCTTTTGTTTTGTTTTTTACAGTTTGTAGGTAAGGAAGCTGAGGTCCTTGTATTTAGAGTAGCTTGCCCAGAGGTACACACCTGCCTAGAGAAAGAACCAGGACTAGAAGCCAGAGTTCCTGATTATTGATCCAATGCTTTTTCCACTTTGCCATCCTGACATCCAGCCTTCTTAAAATTAATTTAAGGATTAAGATAAAGAATTCAGAGAAGCACTGGAGAATGTACATGAGGAGTGATGAAAGTAAAGCCAAAAGAATATACACAATTACCAAAACAAAGTCAACAACAACAACAACAAAAACCATGGAGAGTTATCATTTGTTAACTCATTTTTCATGTACTCTATCATCAGAACAGGTAGACTGTCCATTAAACTTAGTAATATTAGTGCCATATGGTCAAAGTTAAAGGACATGACTAAAATACCAATAAAAACTTATTTTTAAAAGATAATGACCTACATCCTTTCTGTTAACAATTAATAAACTATTTTGAGGGAATGTACTTTGTTGGAAGATTGTTTGGATATGTGCTGTGAATGTACTGTGCCAAAACAAAGTATATCAATAAATTTTTTAACAGCATGTCAAAGGATTACTGAGATTTTGCCATTTGGCAACCCATAAAACCCCTGGGAGATCACATATACATGATCATATGAATACCAATGCCTAATATTACTATAGCAAATATAATTTTTCCATGGTCTTTGACATCTATTATAGTTTCTATTGTAACAACAAGCTACTGTGATGCATGTTCTGTAATGCTAGAACATGTAGCACTAACCCAATCTGACAGATGAGAAAACTGAGGCACAGAGAAGTTAACTTGCCTAAGATCACACAGTGATTCAGTGACAAAATGCAACTAGAATCCAGGTCTCCTGACTCCCAGACTTATCACATTGTCACTGGCTATATCTAAGAATGAGATTGGGGGAAAAAAATGATTCATTACCAAAATTTAAATTAATGGAACGGTTCTTAGATAAAGGAACTCCCTCACCCCACTGTCACTTTCCCCAAGATTGGCCCAAATAAAATTAGTAAGGAGATGTTGCAACAGTTCTACTTTGCTGAGGATCACCAGCAGGCTCAGAGGATCATCCTTAGCGTTTGTAACACAGACATGAAAAAGCACACTCAGGTTCACAGGGGCCCAAGAGAAAGTCTAAAGAGATACTACGAATGATGCAGAGACGCAAAACAGTCCTAAAGGATTTGAAAGGATACTAGAAACTAATAGCCTCATCTTACAGTCGTATGAAATCAGGTCTACACTAGGAATATGGCATGTACTTCTGAAGGAAGACAAAATGAAGTGAGAAAAGTTCCAGAGTGAAAACACAAGATTATACTTTGCAGTCAGTATAATGAAGGGAGATCTCTAAAAACCCAAAGACAGTAATTTTAACACACACTGAAGCCATGTACTACTTTTTTTGGCCATTTACTACTTTAGCAAATAAGTAATAAGTATGTTGAACCTGTTACTCTAGCAGGTTTTACAAGTTCAAAACATAAATGAGAAGGATTTAAATAATGTCATGAATGACAAATCCATACTGAACTATTTGGGAAGAATGAAGGGTTTTTATAGTATTCTTCTAGTCACATAAACGGTATGTCACACAAAGCAACTACCATCCTCTCCCAGAAAAGGTCACTTAGAACTACTGTCAGAAATAAGACTGGGCTAGATGGACTGTAGGGCTGAGCCAGTATGACCTTCTAAACTTCCTGTATAGCCTACTTGAACACCAACAGAGTAGGGAGAATGATTCTTACCACCCGGTTCCACAGGGCTCCCTGTTTGCTCTGCATATCTGGGGTAAGGCGGATATACTGGGTCATCACCATGGCATTCCCCATCAGGGTCCATAATGAAGAACTGCTAGTACCCACACCTATAGGGAGGAAAACAAAAGAATTCTCATAAACCAACAATACTTTGTTTTCTATTGTATCAACTGCATGCCTCCTCCTGTCTTAAGCAGATGTTATTTTCTCACTACCTTACCTCTGCATCTCACTGACACATTTTAAAATTTTTTCTCCTGTGGTGCCCTTTCCAGACATGGATTTCAAAGAACTTTAGAGATAATAGTTCATTAATTTATTCATCCATCCGCCCATCCATCACCGGTCAGAGGTCAGAATCATTCTTCCCATTTTATATATGAAAAAACTAGGGTATCATAAGAGGGAAAAAAAAGTGTCCACAATCAAACAAGCTAGGTGGAAAAGTGGATAGAGATATTGGACTTTGGAGTCAGGAAAACAAATTCAAATTCTGCCTCAGACATAAAAGCTGTGCGACCTTGGGCAAGTCACTGAAGCTCTCTAGATCTCATCTAAAAAAAGGGGATAATAATAGCACCTACCTCTCAGGATTAAGAGGATCAAAAGAGATGTATGTCACGAGCTTGGTTAACCTTAAATGCTAGCTATTATTAATACAATTACATTGAGATGCAATAGTAAATAAAGGTAGACAACTTATGCCTCAGTCCTCCTAGAACCAGATCATATACGTTCCAAGTTGTCAGTTGTGTATACACACCACACACACACACACACACACACACACACAGAGGTATATACATGTGATTGGTTGTTGTCCTTCCTTCTAGACCTTTGGTCCTTTTAGAGGACCAAAAATGACATCATTATGCTTGGGTCAAGGTACAGTATGTCCAATTGTGTCTGATCAGATCAGTACAAGCTCAGAAGGGCGGGCTACCACAGGTCAGGCACAAAGAATCCACACATGCATGCATGCGTGTGTGTGTGTGTGTGTGTGTGTGTGTGTGTGTAAATGATTACTCCCTTTCACACTGTCTATATTCCAATCAATCTGAACTACTTGCTGTTCCCCAAACTTGGCATTCCAGCTCCTATCCTAACCAATAACTTTTAGAATCCTGGGCTTCCTTCAAGTTTCCACTCAAGTGACATATTTTAGCAAAGGCTTTGCTAAACTCTCCAGGGACTGGTGCGCTCTTCCTCTTTTGATTATTTTGTCTTTACTTACATGTTTAAATATTGCATGCACTGAGTACAATGTAGCCTCCTTGAGGGGACTGCTTTTCGTTTTTATCTTTGTTTAGAAAATGCCTAACACAGCAGTTCTCAAACTTTTAGGTGCCAGGACTCCTTTCACCCTCTTAAAAATTCAGAACCCCAAAGAGTTTTTGTTTAGGTGTGTTATATAAATAACAAGTTAGTATTATTATGAAAATACTTTTGACCTTTCATATCCCTTGAAAGGGCCTTAGGGAGCTCCAGGGGCCCATGGACCATACTTCGGGATCCACTGATACTGCTGGAATAGGACCAGACCTGTGATTTCATTGGTTTGGGGATCTTCTGCTGGGAAAAACCCCCACCCCCTACAAATGTGGGCACCTGTGCTACAACTAAGGTTTAGGGAGTTGCCTGGATTGCACTGAGGGGTTAAAGCATTTGCCCAGACTTATACAGCCAATGTGTCAGAGGTGAGACTTGAACTCTGGTCTTTGTGACTACAAAGCCAGATCTCTACCTGCTATGCTAAGCTACTTCTCATGCCCAGCACCAACTAGGTGCTTAATTAATGCTTGAAAATGAATGAATCGGACAATTTCAGAGTTGGATCTTTGTGGTCATTTAGTCCAATCCACACCTGAAAAAAGAATCCTACCACAAAACACCTAACAAGGAGTCATCCAGTCTCTGCTCTGGAGACCTCCAATGAGGATTTATATGCCTAAGGCTCCTTACCCCCAACTCCCAATTTATAAACTCTTTAAGGCTAGAGACCGAGTCTTATGCATTTTTATATCTCTCTGTGTGCCTTACACTTAGTATATAACCAAACAAATGTTTGCTAAATGAATGAAACTCTCCCTCCCCTAATAATAATCAATGACTTTTAGTTTTTTAGGTAGTGATAACAGAACCATAGATTTGGAGCTGGAAAGAACCTCAGGAGCTATCTAATCCAACCCCCTTGTTTTACAGATAAGGAAACTGAGGTGAGGCCCAAGGAGACTATGACTTGCCCAAGTTCTTTCTATTACACCATGTTTTCTAGTCAGTTGTGGTTAGTAACAGGTTTCTTCTTTTAGCCATATATACATTCTCATCTGGCCTGCCTTGTCACTAACATTATTCCCTTTATAAATATTAGTATCATATAGAATTACAGATTTAGAGCCATAATGAAGCTTAGAAGACAATCAGGAGTTCTTAACCTAGATTCAAAGGTCTGTGACTTGAATGAGAAAATTATATATGTGTATGTATGCGTATATCTATATCTATAGCTATATAGATATACACACATACATATATACATTTTTTTTCACTATTCTCTAAATAAAATATAGCATCATTTCCTTCAATTATGAATTTTTACAAAATTATTCTGAGAAGTGGTCCATAAGGCTGCATCAGACATGGTTCTGGGTCTAAGACACACACACACACACACACACACACACACACACACACACAAAAAAGATTTCAAGAAGACCTGAACTAAACCAACCCTTTTACTTTAGAGGTAAAGCGAACTAGTAGTAAAGTGGTACAGATAGTAAGTAAAAGTAAAAAATATAAACTCAAGTACTTTTACTCTAAATACAACACTCTTCCCACTGTTTAGCTGGCTGTTAAAGCCAACTGTTAAAGGTATGAACTGTTAAAGGCATGAACAGTCTATAGTCACTGAACAAGACAAAGATAATAAAGTTAAAATCAACAAAATATTTATTAAGTGTCTCCTATGGGCAAGACATTTTGCTAGATACTAGGCATACAAAGATCAAAAAAGGTAGCTCTTACCCATGAAGCATTTTTTTTAATCTGAAGAGTGGGACAGATAAAGGACCACTGATGAAGAGCTAGAAGGAAATTTAGGGCCACCTAGTCCAATCACTCAATTTATCATTGAGAAAACTGAGGCCTACAAAAGCTATAGAATTATAAAAGGTTACCTAGGCAGCACCAAGATCCAAACCCAATCTTCTAACTCTTGATTATTCTTTTCACTAGAATCACATTATTTCCCTACACACAAGTATGACCAAAGATAGTACCAAAGGAGTGAAGCAGACAAAATGTTCTGGGAAAGTAGGGGGAGGGAGGAACAATGAGGGGAGTGATCACTTTATTTTCTGATCAACAAGTTGTTTTTCTCCTCTCTTTCCCACATCACCCTTTAAATGGAAAAAATAAAAATAAAAGCATAATCCTCATTATATATATGCAGTCAGGGAAAAAAAACTTCCCACATTTCATGTCCAAAATGTACATCTCACTCTGTATCTTGAATTCATCACTGCTCTGTTAGGAGATAACATGGATTTAGAATCATGGTTGGTCATTGTATTGATCAGAGATCTTAAGACTTTCAATGTTTTTTGGCTTTACAATACTATTGTTACTGTATATATTGTTCTGGTCCTTCTCATTTCACTCTGCATACCTTCATATAAGTCTTTCCAGGTTTCTCTGAACCCATCCATTTTCAGTATTTCTTACAGCATAATAGTATTCCACTACATTCACATACCTTAATCTGTTCAACCATTTCCCAATTGATGGGTATTCCCTTAGTCTCCAGTTCTTTGTCACTACAAAAAGACTTAGTATAAATATTTATGTTTTTATCTTTCTTTGATCTCTTTGGAGTATAGGCCTAATAAAGGTATCACCTAGTCAAAGGGTAGGAATAATTTAGTGACATTTTGCTCACAGTTCCAAATTGCTTTCCAAGAATGACAGGACCAAGTCACTGCTCCAACAACAGTGCATTAATGTACCTGTTTTCCCACAGCCCTTCCAATATTAGCTATTTTCCCTTTTCTGCCACCTCTGATGATCCAATGGGTATGAGGTAGAACCTGAGTTATTTTAATTTGCGTTTCTCTATTGGTAATTTGGAGCATTTTTTTTGGATAGTTGTTTACAGCTTGGATAAAAAACTGCCTACTCAGATCCTCTGAATGGGAAAGTTTCTAACTAACCTATTTATTCAGTCATTGAAAAACAAATCAAGTCGTTGGGCTCACAGGTCTGGGGCTAAAATGGACCCCAAAGGTCATTTGGTATAACCGCCTCCTTCTCCTAAAGAGGAAAAATGAGGCCTCGAGGGGTTCAGTGTCTTGGGCAAGGTCACGAAAGGAATTAAATGGCAGAGCTGAGATTTGAATCAAAGTCTCCTGACTCCCCATCCAGGGATGCCATGTAGCAGATAACTCCCTGGGCATCTTCTATTTGCCTCTGCGGCTGGTTCTGTCCGCCAGCTCTGGCTCCGGACCCGCAGAGCCCAGGGCCCCTGACCCCGGGCAAGCACCCGAGAAACCTGGGCCAGGCTGAAGTGACCCGGCCGCCTCTGCTCAACCGCGAAGCAGTCACTCCCGGTCAGGACTGCGGAAGAGCGGCCCTCCCCCGCACCGAGCTCCCTGACCTCTGGCCAGAGACCTCTGCTCAGTGACCTCTTCCCCCGGGCCCGCCCCGCTTCCGCCCGAGTGCGCCCCGCCGCCCGCGCCTCCCCTGGCGCGGCCCCGGACCCCTCACCCTGGTACGGCTTGGACAGCGAGTGCTCCCGCTTCAGGTACTCATCGGTCTGGTCTGCCTCGGCCGGCCCCAGCCCCGGCCCGGATCCCAGCAAGAGGAGTAGGAGCAAAGTGCCGAAGCCCGCCCGGACAGGCAGAGCCCCCGACCCCTGCCATCGCCACCTCCACCACCAGCGCCAGCCAGAAGCTCCGGGAAGCAGCGCCATCTTCCTCGCCGCCACCGCCTAGCCCAACACCCGCCCTCTCTCCCGGCCCATTGGCCCGAAGGGTCATCCGCCCCGCACGCTATTGGTGGTCAATGTGTCCCCGCCAGCACAGGTGAGCATCTCGCTGATTGGGTACCTTGGGCATCAGTTGCCCTGCCAACCCAAGGGAGGGGCGTGGTAGTACAAAGAGTGAGTCAAATTTGCATTTTCTTGGGGCCCGCAAAGTATTTTGGGGAATGAAGTCTTTTATTTGAAACCCATAGTCATTCATTGCAGTTAAAGAGATAGCAGTCTTTATTCCCCTCCCCACACCCTATCAAATCTCAAGGGCCCGTGTGAAGGGCCATATGAAGTAGGCTTCAGAACTGTTTTTGCCCCAATTGCGAATGATGGGAGGGAGCTGAAGTAAAAAAGATCTTTCTTTCCTTACCTCGACGTAATTAAACTGCTAATAACCTGTAACTGGAACTTTAGAGCAAGAGATTAGCTTTTTGTTGTTCATCTTTTTTTTTTTTTGTGAGGCGATTAGGGTTAAGTGACTTGGCCAGAATCACGCAGCCAAGAAATATTACGTGTCTGAGATCGGATTTGACCTCAAGTCCTCTTAACTCCAGGGTGGGTGCTATATTCACTGCGCCACCTAGTTGCCCCATTATTTTTTCAATCTTGTCCGACTCTTGGTGACCCCATTTGGGATTTTCTTGGCAGAGATACTGGAATGGTTTTCTATTTCCTTCCCCAGCTCATTTTATAGATGAGGAAACAGAGGCAAATAGGGTTCAGTGATTTGCCCAGGGTCACACAGCTAGTTAGTGTCTCAGGCCATATTTGAACTCAGGAAGACTCATCTTCCTGGCTCCTGGCCTGGCACCCTATCCACTTCGCCACCTAGCTGCCAAGAAACTGGCTTACCATGAGTGATTTTTTGGGTTTTTTTGTTTTTTTTTTTTAATTAACTTTTACAGCATTTACTACCATATAAAGTATGTTCCTATGTGTATATATAGGCCTGTTCAGGGAACTCCTGCTAAGAAAATTCCGTCCACTTCAAACCATAGGCCAGTGAATTTAAAGTCAATTCCTGACAAAATTGTAGACTATATTATTAAAGAAATGGCTTTGTGAACATCTAGAAAAGAAAGCAGTGTTTACAAAGAGCCAGCATGATTTCACCCAGAACAGGTTAGACCTCTTTTCCATCCTAGTTCAGACCCTCACTATGCTTTGCTTGGATTATCTCAATAGATGTCTGATTGTCCTTTCTGCCTCTAGTTTCTTCTTCTCTTCAACAGCCAAAGTGACGTTACAGGGCTAACCATGTTACTGTCACTTTTCTGCTCAAGCTCCAGCAGCTTCTTATGGCCTCTAGGATAAAATACAGTTTCTTCTATTTAGTGTTAAAAGCCCTTCACAACATGGCCCCAACCTACCTTTCCAGCCTTATTATACATAACACTGGTTCACAACTCTAAACTCCAGTCAAACTAACTTATTTTCTGTCACTTACATATGATGTTCAATTTCTTGTCTCCAGTCTTTGCATAGGCTATTTTTTTTTTTTAGGCAATTGGGGTTAAGTGACTTGCCCAGGGTCACACTGCTAGTTAGTGACAAGTGTTTGGTCTGAGGCCGGATTTGAACTCATGTCTTCCTGACTTTAGGGCCAGTGCTCTATCCACTGTGCCACGTAGCTGCCCCCCACAGGCTATTTTCTATGCCTAGAATGCATTCCTTTCTTGTGTCCACTGCTTAGAATCCCTAGCTTTCCTAACTTTCTTCAAAGTTCAGCTTAGCTGCCCCATCCTACATGAGGCCTTTCCTGATCTCCCTCAGTTGCTGGTGCCTCTTCCTCCAAATTACCTTGAATTTATTTTGTGTGTGTGTGTGTGTGTGTATATATATATATCTATATATCTTTATATACTTGGATATATAGATAATTGCTTCTCCTAACAGACCATGTACTCCTCCAAGACAGCGGACTTTTTAGATTATGCCTTTGTATCCCCGATGCCTACTATTGAGTAGGCACTTAATAAACAATTATTAATTGACTAAATGATTGATTCTCAGTACTTTGGCTAAATTCATGCCAGACTAACCTTATTCCCTTTCTTGACTAAGTTACTAGATCAGGAGAATGCTATAAATATAGTTGACCTAGATTTTATTAAAGTATTTGGTGAAGTATCTTATGCTATTCTAAGGGAAGAGATGGTATGATATGGATTTGACAATAGTCCAATTTGACAGATTCAGAAATGGCTGGATTCAGAGAGTACATTATGGTACAGTATTAGTTTGAAAGGAGTCTGCCATGGAGTGCCCCTGGGATCAGTGATGGACATTTGCTGTCGAACATCTTTATTAAGTACTTGGATAAAGATAAAATCAAATTTGCAGATGGTAAAAAGCTTAGGGTAACAACTAACACACTGGATATCAAGGAGGATCTAAAAAGATCTTATCAAATGGTGGGTCAAATTGGAAAAAAAAAAAGAAAATTTAATAGGGATAAAATATAAGGGTTATAAGTAAGTTTAAAAAACTGACTTCTAAAGTACAAGATGAGTGAGGGGGACCATGGTTAGATAACAGTATATCTGAACAAGATCTGGAGGTTTTAATAAACCACAAGCTCAATGAGTCAATGGTATCGTATGCAGGCAAAAAAATGCTAATTCGATCTTAAGGAACATTAAGAGAGTTATAGGATCCCAAGACGAGCATGGTGACGATCCCACAGGACTGTGCTTGGGTCAGACTACATCAGGAACGTTGTATTCAACTCTGGACACCAGAGTTTAGGAAGGATATTAAGAAAGGTAGAGAGCATTTAAAGACAGGCGATCAGGACCTTGGTGATCACAACAGCTCCTATGAGTTCAATAATCATCCATATGCATATGCATCCATGTGATTCCCAAATCTATATATCCAGTGCTAACTTCTCTCCAGGGCTCTAGTCTCAAATAACCAACTACCTTTTGGGCCTCAGGGGCTCAAACTCGTTCTATTTGGCCCCGAGGAGGATAGAACTAAAAATAATGGATAGAAGTTGAAAAGAGGGAAATTTAGGCTAAATGCTGGGAAAAAACTTTTTTTTTTCAAATTAAGTCTATCCCAAAATGGGGGCAACTAGATAGCACAGTGGATAAAATGCCAGGCCTGGAGTCAGGGAGACTCCTTCTGGAGTTTAAATTTGGCCTCAGCCACTAACGAACAAACTGACCCTGGGCACTGAAAAATGACTAAGCAACAAAAGTCCCAAAGTGGAATGCAGTGTCTCTGGAAGTGTTGAGTTCCCTCTCATTTCGGGTTTTTCAAGCAAAGGCTAAATGATTACTTACCAGATATGCTGTAATAGGTATTCTTCGTCAGGTAAGGCCTAATAAAAATGCCACTGAAGTTCTTTCTGACTCTGAACTTGGTTCTCTCTCAACATATCTTGATTGATGAACTTGGCCACATCCTTCCTTTCATTGCCACAAGGACTATGCTGTTGTTGAGTCATGTCTAACTCTTTGGGACTCCATTTGAGGTTTTCTTGGCAAAGATACTAGAGTGGTTTGCTATTTCCTTTCCCCAGCTCATGTTATAGATGAGGAAACTGAAGCAAAAAAGGGTTAAGTGACTTGCCAAGGTTCACACAGCTAGTAAGTGTCTGAGGCCAGATTTGAATTCAGGAAGATGAGTCTTCCTCATTCTAGGCCCAGCATTCTATCCACTGTGCCACCTAGCTGCCAATATCTTTTTGCTTTGGAGGGTATCCCGTCCTGTGAATCTGACAAGCATTTGTTTCTAGAAGACCAGAGATTTCACAGGGATGAACCAAAGACAACCATAGAATCCCAGAATATTAGAGTTAGCAGGCTTCTTTGAGTTCATCTAATCCAACTGAGGCAACCAAAACCTTCCTTAAGACTATGGAAAGAACAACAATTCTATATGATGATCAACTGTGAATGACTTAGCTATCCTCAGCAATACAATGATTCAAGACAACTCCAAAGGACCCATGATGAAAAATGCTATCCCCCTCCAGAGAAAGAACTCTGGAGTCTGATGGAGTCTGAATGCAGATCAAAGCGTACTATTTTTCACTTTCTGTATTTTGTTTTTGTTTTTTTCCCTTTAGGTCTGTGTCTTCCTTCACAACATAACTAATATGGTAATATGTTTGTATGATTGAACTTGTGTAACCTATATCAAATTGCTTACCATTTCAGAGATAGCAAAGGTGACAGATGGAAAAAGAAAATTTGGAACTCAAAAAAATTTTTAAATGAATGTTAAAAATTGTCTTTATGTGTAACTGGGGAAAAATAAAATATTATTAAAAAAAAAAAAAAGACTGTAAAAAGGCAGCATGTCACTGTAGTAATTATCCAGTGAGGGAGTATAACCTAAGTTGTCCACTAGGTGGTAGTCTCCTTGAGTCAGTAGCCACCTCAGTTCCTTTCTAACCCTTAGACATAACCAGCACCTGCAACAACCTGCTGTGCTTTCTCTGGTTGCTTCTGGCTAACTTCAGAATTTAGTTAAGGAATGATAGGCAATATTGCTCACAGTATCTTTTTAAAAAGAAAGCTGTGATTGGTACATGACTATAGTCTTCAAGAGCAGCAATTCTCAAACTTCTTGGTCTCAACACCCCTTTATACTCTTAGGGTCCCCTGAAGAACTTATGTGGGTTATATCTATCAATATTTACTATACTAGAAGTTGAAATGTCTCATTATTGTTATAAAAATAGTTTTGACCTCACAGATCCCCCTGAAGTGGTCTCAGGGGCCTCCGTGGGGTACTTAGGCCACATTTTGAGTACTACTGCCTTTGGAATCCTACCTACTCCTACCCTGCCTTTGGAATGGCTTCTCCTCAGGCAATAATCCCTTCTCATTCATACAACGTCCTTTGACTACAGAGTTTTGTTTTGTTTGCTTTTTAACATATAAAAACCAGGAAAGTGTATACACTCCTACATGGGGTAATCCATCTCCTATCATGTCCCTAAAA